CGACAATAAAGTCCATGTTGACGAAGAAAACGTTGACTTTGTATTGTTTTTTGATGGGTAGGGCGCAACCGCCCGCTTCCGGTTACCTGGGCGATGTTCATTCCGGCGCACTCCTGTTGCACTAGTCGCAACCCGACGACATGTTGGCAAGAAAAAATGGAGTTTGTGCTTTTTTTGACAACTGGGACGGCGGGGTTGCCGTCGGCCGGCTAGGTGGGGATGTGGGGGTGTTGAATCATAGGAAGTAAGGATGGGGTGTGGTGGGTGGGCGCGGGTGGGGTGGGATGGGTGGGCGGTGGCGCGGGGGGGGGAGGGGGGGGGGGCAGCGCGGGGTGTCGCGGGGAGGCCCATGGACATCGCATGCCGCAATAATGTCAGAGAGCCCCGCCCCGGCCGATTTCACCCTCGGACACCGCCCCTTCAGCTTGGCCAGCACTGGGGCCCGATATCGTTTGCAAGATCTATCCCAACCCCAGCGCGGGGATGCCACCCGCACCTGGCAACCTCGAGCCAATGCCTGTCTCGAGACAAACAGGAGCTGCGCGGGCGCGGATGTGCGCGTCAGGGAAGGCGAGCTGGCGCTGCCGAGTATTCGGAGGCAGTCCTGCACCTCTTCCACTCAACCACTGAACGCCAGAAGCCTACAGATGCCCGGCAGCATGCTGACGAGATCCGCGCCCCTCGCGGACAGGTCGTCTGCGCAAGCGTCAACGAGCGACGGCGGCTCGCAGCGGGGCCCCCCGCGGCCTCCGAACAACAGGATCGAAGCAAAAGCTGAGCAGCAAACCGCTCAGTGGACGACCGTGCTTAATGCCGCAACGCAGCTGGGTAAGACTGGGGTCGGAACTGTTAGACGGGAAACCGTTATACTATTCTCATGCGGGGTCATGATGCAATGGGTAATATTCAGCAACCCCGAACGCACCAATGACATCCCAAATGCTGCCGCGGTTAATGCTCGGGAAGGCGGCCTCGATGTCGAACGGGGCCGCGCCTGCTCTTCTACGATCGGCCATCGGGCGTGCAATCGTCAGGTCGCCGTCAACCTCGATGATGCTGTGGATCATCTGCCTACCTCTGAAACAACCTGTTCGGGGCCCCTGGTCGCGGTCGTTGGCAACCTGAGACAGGGCCCGAGCAGTGCTTGCGCTCGCTATTCTGCTGCCCGTATTCGAGCGCGAACGCGGCTGCGTTTCATCGGCGCCTCGGACAACCGGGCCCCCCTCTGGTGAGTTGCCCCTCGGCGAGAAGGCGGCCGCGCTCTCTTTGCAGATGGGGGGCGGCCTCTAGTGCCCCGCAAGCTCGCAATGCGCAGCGCGCAGACGCTCCATGCCCACTTCCCCCAGCGCCTTCCAAACCGAATGAGTGGTCCCATCGGGCCCAGGGCGCGAATCCATCTCGCCTTAAAGATGCAGCAAATGCAGCCTCAGGAATTAACCCGCGGATGAATCGAACCAGAATCCGAAACGCATTGATCATCGTGGGGTTGAATGGGGGCGATGGCCGGCGCGAGTGAATCCACCGTGCCCTTATCCACCCAACGCCCCCTGAATGCTTCGCGTACTCCAGTGTTCGGGCAGTAGTTGTGCGCGAACATTCGGGCCGCGGTGCGCGACTCCGTCGGCGTCTGCGACTTGCCGGGGGAAGATCTGGCGATCTGACTTCCTCCGGGCTTGGCGCGTGTCCAAGGCGCGAACAATATCCTGGGCGGCGCGGGCCCCGCTGCATTCGCCAGTTGCTGCGGCGCGAGCAGTGGCTTCCCGAGCTTGGCGGTTCAGCCGCGCGAGCTCCGGAAACAAGCGAGTCGAAGCCCGCGCGGTCAGACCGCCGCAGCTCTTGGGGGTCAAGATGCCTGCATGGGTCAGGGGCGGGGCAAGCGCGACTGCTTTTCTTCGGTCGTCCTAGCCCACTTCCCGGGGCGCCCAGTCCTTGACGCGCTGCGCGACGTGTCTCATGGCTTCCTTGATCTCCTGTAGACTGGTTGGTAACTGGCTCATCGCTGTGATAGTCAGGGCCGCGAACCTCCATGATTTGGATGCCGAGCTGGCCGTGCCGACTAACCCAACTAGGAATGGGGGTAACCCCTGCGGAGGTCCAGCGGGCGAGCGAAAAGAATGCCGGGCAATGGTCAGATGGGGGCCCGAGGTCCGTGATGGGCGTGGACAAAGGTCTAGCATGCCTTGCGTGGCTAGTGTAGTGTGTGTCCGATCTAGACGAGCAACAGATGCCCGTGGATCAACCCCTTTCGTCGCTATCCGAACGCCGAACAATCCCGCGCGTGTCTCGCTCCTGCGCCATTTCGCCAAATTGGCCTGGAGTCGCGAGGAGATTGTTCGCGAGCAAAAAGCCGACGGGGCCGTCCGTGCCCGCGTCGGTGCGATGCCGCGATTCGCCAACCGAGATAATAATTCAAATCTCCAGATATAAAAACCAACAACTTCAGAAAGAGGAAAGAGCGCGGGTTGGATGCGAGAGAAAATCCCACTGACATCCCATTCGGACAAACCGGGGACCATGCGGACAATGATAATCTGACAGACCCCATGCGGGCCCTGAAGGAGGAAAGGCAACGCGACCTTCGACAAGCGCGCCTAGATGAGCAGCAGAGGAGTTGGCCAACAGCTTACGCGATACACAGAAGAGCAGGCCTCCGGCTGAGGCAGACTCGCAACAAGTGCCGAACGGCTTACGAGACTTGTGGTCTCTTCCCAAGTGCTCAAGGTCTGCGTCAATACCATGGGGCTCCTGAATGCACGCCGCTTCGTTTTTATCGAGCTGAACTTCTCCCGAATCACATCTTGGTTAGTAAGCGCCAATCCCAATAGAGTCTGGGCGCTCCGCGAGCGCACGCCTAGCCGCGGACCCACGGCGGAAGGGCGGTGGAGGTAAGGGGAGGAGGGGGACTGACTGACTGGCACAGAAGATTGACTGCTGCTGCAAAAATCACTACCAAAGACTTGTGATGCGGACGCCTCCGAGCTGGAGGCCAACGAGAAAGCTGCTGGGCTCGCGAGGCGACCCCGTTGCATCACGGGGGGGGGGCATCATGCTTTGCATCCCTGTGGTTTCTACGAGAATGCTCATGGTGTGCAACCTATAGCTGTGCGCGTGCATTCTCAATGATGGATGAGGCCCTCTCTGCCCCGTTCCGCCAGCTCCCCATGGCTGGGAATGAATCCGATGTCCGACTTGCACTTGGACTTGTCCTTCGCAACGGCGATCTCCCACGCGGCCTCGTCGTTCCTGACGGGAGGAACCCCCTTGAACCTCACTCCCAAGCGGCAGCTCGTATTCCACTTGGGGTCTTCTTCGGCTCATTCAGGGAAGGCTCCAAGATGCCACTGGGAGCCCGCTGCCTAATCCTCGCGTCCACGGGTAGATCAGCGTGGCAACGAATCGATGTCGTCTTCTGTGTGCGGACATCGTGGTAATCGTGGCCGCCGTCCTCATTGCACCTTTGCTGGAAGGTCTTGGCCGCGAAAAACGGAGGAGAATGTCAACGCATAGAGCTGGGAAATGCCATGGAAAGAAAAGGTTCCACACACGGCAACAAATGACCGTATCGGGCGAGCACTGTATGATTGTGGTGCCTCTCCCGCGTTTTCTTCAACAATGGCCTCGGGAACGTGCCAAGGCAGCGGACTCGGGCGTCTGCGGGGGCTTGCCTCTCGGGCCCGCCGCCTCCACCGCCACCGCCGCCACCGCCACGTGGTTGGTGTTCACCACTGTCGTCGATCCTGTCTGTAGACGCCGCCGGCGACACTGCCACTGAGTTGGCGTTGAGTGCGGCCAGCTGCTCCTGAATAGCGTTCGTCTTCTTATTCGCAGCTGTGGTTACTGCCTCTGAGGCGGACGCGAGCGAACCCTTTTCAACCTCAGCCAGGCGGGAGTGTAGACTATGAATGCTCTGATCTTGCACATAGAGAGCCGACCGAAAATCCTGCATCCCCTGCGCCATCGACTGCTCTATTCTCGCAATGTTGCTGTTCATGCTTCGAACCTCGCTCATCATGTCCTGCATCCACGAGCAAGGACGCTCTTCACGAACAGACTCACCCGTGCTCCTGCTACGACGGTCTCGCCCGTCTGAGCTGCTGCGATCACGCCGATCACGACGTTCGCGCCTCTGCATTGGAGAGGTCCTCCTCGACGGGGTGATGCTGAGATCGGAGTCCGAGCGATTCTCTGTTCTGAGCGAGACTTGCGAGACCTGCCCATCGAAGCAGAGGGTCGACACAGAGGCAAAATGCGTTTCTGGAAACGAAATTGACTGGAAGCGCAACTTCAGCGGGAGGGACTTGGGGCGGGAGGGTGCATTTCAGCATCGTTGATGCATTCTGGGCTTACTCTGGTCCTACCTCCTCCTCCTCCTCCTCCTCCTCCTCCCTCTTCCTCTTCCTCCTCCTCCTCATCCTCCTCCTCCTCTTCCTTCCCGTTCTTCCTCCTCGTCCCTCATGCAACCCGTGAAGGTGGAAGCGGAACTGGAGGCATACATTGAGGCTGAGAGGAAGAAGAATCGACCCCGGTCGCTGGAACCACCGAGACGGCAACCTCCCATGCTGCCCACACGAGGCATCCTTAGGCTGTCTTGTCCCGCCGAGGCGTCGCGCTGGGGCGTTCTTCGAGGGCGGGCCCGGGTCCAGACAGGATGGGAGGTGGGAGCCCGACTCCGGGGCGACGCATCGACCTGGAATCGGCGATACACCGCCCATAGAATAGCGATAGGCCCCTGATAGCGATTCCGCACGGTCCTGGGTGGAGTGGGCTGTCGGGCTCCTGTCGGCGATCAGTGGGCGATTGGGGGTCGATGTTTTCTTTTTCCTGGAGGCGGACAGAGCTCCGGGAAGCTACCCTTAATGCTATCGATCGGAAGCGGGTGAGACATGGATAAGCGCAGGGGCCCAAGACGGCGCGACGACGGCGAGAGAGCGCGGCGCATTCCCCCTTTGGTGCCCCCGACGAGGGAAGGGTGCCAATCGCGGGGCCGCCGAGGGCGCCGCCGCCATGCAGAAGAGCTCGCCCCGCAGGAGCACGCTGTCCTCGCGCGGGAGGGCGCCAGCTTTACAACCCCACACCTCCTCGACCCTCGAGGCTCGAGGATCGAATGTGCGTGTGTGTGTGTGTGTGTGTGTGTGTGTGTGTGTGTGTGTGTGTGTGTGTGTGTATAGTTTTGGCTCGACCTTCGAGGCTCGAGGATCGAATGTGTATGTGTGTGTGTGTGTGCGTGTGTAGTTTTGGCTCGACCCTCGAGGCTACAATGTGTGTGTGTGTGTGCGTGTATAGTTTTGTGGCCTCAACCCTCTGGAGACCTCCAGGCAACCTCTGAAGTTAAGTTCTCTGGCGACTTTTTTGTTGGCCTGTGCAGAGAAACAACTAGGCGGGTCCCTCAGGGGACGAGTAACAAGTAACCCACGTAGACCTCCTCGTCTTTTTTCCTCCTCCTCCTCCTCCTCCTCGTCCTCCTCCTCCTCGTCCTCTTCCTCCTTTTCCTGCTCTAACCTGTGGGGGTCCCCCCGTCGCCACGGCCAGACGCAATCCGCAGACAATATGGTGGGCCGGGGTGGAATACCTCTGGCCGGGGGACGCCAGAGATGCACCAACACCGAGCCTGGACAGGTCCATCGTGGGTCCTAAATCGGCGCACGTTTGACGTATCCTGCTTCGGCCGGGAAGGAGTCGGCGCACCCTGGCTCATGATCGGCCTGGCCAGGATCGGTGTCATCAGTCGCATGGCTGGCGCCTCCCAATCGCCGTTCTCTGCCGGCGGCCCTCGTCATCCTGGCTGTCTTCCTCGGTCGAGGGTCCAGGGCCGAGGACTGTCATAGGTTTTTTGGCTTTTGTTGGTGCTCGTGGTCCTCGGGGGGGGCCCTCGTGGGCGCAGTTTGGCCCGCCGCTGGAAGAGTCGGGGGGTCGTCGACGTCGTCAGCATTTGGCGGTCGTTTGTTGTGCGATCTTGGCCCCCCTGTGAAGACTTTCGGGCCTGCGGGGAACTGCCCGCGACGAGGAGCCAATCCCCGGGGATGGGGTCGTCTCCCGAGACGAGAGCGGACCTCAGGAGGAGGAGGAGGGGGAGGAAAAGGAGGAGGAGGAGGAGGAGGAGAAGGAGGAGGAGGAGGAGGAGGAGGAGGAGGAGGAAAAGGAGGAGGAGGAGGAGGAGGAGGATGGGGAGGAAAAGGAGGAGGAGGAGGAGGAGGAGGAGCAGCCAACACACGCGCAGGAAGCTCTGACGAGATCTCGAGATGCCCACCAGGACGCCCACAACTCAGGGCAGCCATTCTTCAGGGATGGGGTCGACAGCTCCAGGCCCGCGAGTCACGTCGATCGCCCTGCTGGGCTGCGCGCGTCGGCACAGATCCACGTTGCAGCAATCGTCCCCGCTGCCCCGTCGTCTTGAGCATCTGGCAGGACCTGTTTCACGAGGGGGCGACCGTACTTGAGCCAAACGCCCGCGGCACTTGTTCGGTTCTGAGCGAAATGGAGCTGCATTGCGCTGGTACGAACTGCTCACCGAATCGGAACGCTATACTGGAACGCCCCCATAAGCTGATCGGAAAAAAAGGTGGAGATGGGTGGGGCATAGCAGCAAAACGCGAAAAAAAAAGGTAATCAGTGTGTTAAAACTGTGGGCAGTGCAGTCAAGCCAGTACTCCACCCCAACATCTCATTTTCCCAAACAAATTATTATCCAACGTGTAATTGAAGGCATAACCGATGAAGATAAAAGGCGACAATGACTTGGGCGTAAAACGGGCAGGGTCCTCCCAACGCTCGATGCATTACGTTTTAAAAACCCGCTAAGCAACACGTCGCGCGACATGATTCGCATCTTTCGTGTTATCGGATAGAACCGCTAGGCGAGCACCTGGATATCAACTGATCCGCCGCTCAATATCCTGGCGTATCGGTTCGCGATGATGACCCGGGCCATGGTCGAGCTAGCGCTTCGTAGCGGGTGCCAACTCATGTCCCCCGTTTACAAGGTGTTCATTTGTATCTATCCTCGTCGATCTTCTCTTGTAGCAGAAGCTGACACACTTCGACTTCGATGTGTCTGACTTTTCTTAGCCCTCTCCAGTTTGCCAATGGCAGTAATTGCGCTGGCGTTGCTCTCTGACAGGATGTCACAATCAACACCGCAATTTTTGAGAACTAAATGTGGTCCTAACACTACTGAGCCGCGCTTCGCCATTTAGTAACACTCTGCTTCTCCGAAAGATCATGCCACGACGCTCTGTCGACCTCCACGACTTTCAATTTGGATCCCCGCGTGATTGCTCCACCGCTTGTTGACTTACGTGCTTTCTTGCATCCGGCATAGTCGGTGTCAGTCCATGGGATTGAACTATTTAGGACGTCCCTGCAAAAGCTGACGCGCGCGCCTGTCGTTCTTCTTGAGGCACTTGCCCAATGAACGAACTCTTACAGGAATTTCGACTCGGGGCCGCCGTCGCACGCGCAAGCTCTTTGACTACGAGCTGTATGTCTGCGCGGTCCTGTGCGAGATGCGTTGCCCTATCCACTGAGGCTTGGCATCGTCCTCGTGGCTCGGTAGGGGCTCCTCATCATCTTCTGGGTGGGCCTGCTTTTCGCCTGGCATTCCATGATTTTGCACCGCTCCAGGCCAGACTCTTTAACGATTATTTCAACCTGCCTTGTCGTCGGCCTCGCGCCGCGAACAGTCCCAGCTCCGCCGCGCAACTTGGACAGGAATCCTGATTGGCGTCAGAACTTTTGGCCCCGGCCAGAATCTCCCGAATAATCCTTTGCGTCGAACGCACCGAGATCAATGTCATTGCCTCGAGTGAAGTGAACATCGCGCTAACATCGCCCCCCCCCCCGCGCTAACATCGCCCCCCCGCGCGCTGTTAGCGCGGTGTACCTTGCCTGATTCTTGAACGCGCGTGGTGGCGCTCTCCCGATGTCAGAACCGGTATCGCGTGCAAAAAGCATGCGGTAATCTTCCCCCATGCTGGCGGCGCCCCGCGTGCCGTGCATTGGCTCGACAGTCTTCCACGCGCGCCATGTCCACGATCTTCCTCGGGTAATCTGATGAATATGTTCTTTCTGGCTTGAGCGTAGAAGTGCATCCGCTTGACGTCCTTGTACGTCAGTTTCAGTCCGTTCTCATGCTCCCCGCGATTGTGCCCTATCCCCTCGGTGACAACCATAGAGAAGATCTGGCTTGTGCATCTTGGCTTGCTGGGCCACCAGTCGGGGTCGGTGCGCGGGATTGTCCTCGACCCCCCTATTTGATATCGATCCACCTCGTGCCGATGGAGGACCTGCCGGTGGCCGCCCAACATTCCTCCTCCTGCACTTTCTCGCGTGCCCAGTGTTCCAAAGACTGCCCCATCTCCTCTTCCCGAGCACTTCGCGTGAATTCTGAAGCAAACCCATCTCTGGGCGCGTCGCCCCGCGCCTGTGCTTGTGCGTGTTCGCGAGAAACTACGCATCTGTCACCTTTGGCAACTAGCTGCGCCTCGGCAACGCCCCCGCGCGCCTCGCGCGCCCCTGGGGCATTCGAGCGCCCCCGGCGCTGGCGCGCGCCGCAGATTTACCGGCGGGGCTGGGTGTCTCGAGTAGCGCGGCAGGAAAATTAAGTGGCGACGTCGCGCGCCCCCCCCTCTGACCCCCCCCCCCTTTTCCTATGATCTTGCAGGCGCCCCTGTTCTCGAGTGCCTGGCCGATGTCCAAGTTCCGAGTGGCGCCGCGCAAGCGTGCGTTCCATGTTGGCCCTGCGTTTCCTGGGAATGTGGCAAGGTCTGCCGCGGTCTTTGCTGGTCCAGGTTAACGCGTGCTCATCGCCGCGCTCGCGCGGCGCGTGTCCGATCTAAATGATTTCCGATTCTTCGTCAAGTTCGCTCTATGCGACCCCGGGGTCAACAGGTCCTGAAGAGCGCCCTTGTCGGTCATCAGCCTTCATCTGGCCAGCCGGCCAATCGTGTATGCCATGGCGGAGTCGGTCCGGATCAGCCCCTGATGTCCTCGTTCTGCGTCCTCCGGCTAACTCGGCATGTCGACACAGACTTCGGCGCGTCGCGCTGAGTGCCGTTCCGATGTGGGGGCTGTTTGTCGCGGACCGCGTGGGTCATTTAATGGTGCCTCTTCTCCTCCTGCAACTTGCTTCGGGCCCGTGCCGGCGCAGATCGCCGTCGCGCGCGCTCTCGCGCTCCGACATTCTCTGCGTTGGTGGCGCGGTCCAGCTCGAGGCCCGCGCCCTGTTTCCAAAAGGAAAGAGAACCCATTGTTTCTCTGAGTCTCGCATGCGCCCACCGCAAGCTTGATGATATCAATTTTACAATCGGACATTTCTGTCGTCCTTTCCGCGCCAAAACTTTCTCAGTTGGAGGCTTGTAACCTGCAGAAGGCTGCGCGCGTTGGGCTTGCTATCGACCGTAATGCTCTTGATGACTGGCCCGCCGCGAGGTTCGCAACCGTTTGATGGCCATTTTCCCTTTCTAGGCTATCTCGAGGCGCTTCCGTCCTCGCGGCCTTGCCTCGCCATCTCGCGAGCTCCGAAATTCGACCTCCGACTCGAACTCTTCTCTTCAGGAGTTCGCATCCCGTGCGCGCTCCGCGGCGGCCTCGGGCAGCTCTGGGAGTGGCTGAATGACGGCGCGCGCGGGCAAACGCCGCAGACAAAACCAGCGGGGTCCAACTTCGTCAGCGACAACAACGACGACCAGGCCCCGCCTGCGTCGAAGCACGAGTCGCGCGCCATCAACAACAACGACGGGGGCAACGCGTGCGGGAACAGCCATAGACAACAGTCATCGGCTTCCGTACTGGGACCCCTGCTTGAGGCAAAAGGCGGGCAATGGCAGCGCGTGTGTGCGAGACGGCGGGAGCAGGAAAGGGTCATCCACTAAACAACAACAATCGATTCTTGCGAAAAAGCGCGCAGTGGCGCACAGTGACAGCATCTGGCGCTGTTTGCAAGAAGAGGGCGAGCAGTGGCACCAGACTCTGTCGCTATCCAACGAGCTGCGGAAGGCGAATCTAGAACCCGATGCCATCAGCTAAAGCGCTGTGGCCGGGGCGTGCGACAAGGGCGTTTCTGCGCGGAATGGGGTGATATAAACATCTCTGCAACGGCGCCAAGGTCAGCTAGCGCGACAAGGCGGACAACGACAGTGGACCTAGCTGCTGCAAAGAAGGGTCGCGCGAGACACATCTCTGCTACAGTGTGGGGACTAGCGGACTCGCTCGTGCTAGGAAGTGCTCGTGGAACAGCTTCTGAACTACAGTGCAGGGGTCGGATCGTGCGAAAAGTCAGGCAATTAGCGGCAGCAGGCTCAGTTGCTGCGTGCGGTCGTGCGAAGCACATCTACGAATCAACATCATCAGCCACACGCTGGGGGCAGATCTTGCGAGAAAGGCCAAGGTGTGCGAGACAAACAGGCAGTGGCAGCGGGAGTTGAGGAAGGCCGCGAGCCCAACGTCATCAACTACAGTGCGGGGCCCATCGTTGAAGCCAGCGGAATGCTATGACAACCGACGCGATCAACTACAACGTTGGGGACTAGGCGAGAAGGCGAACCGTCAGCGAAAGAAAAACGTACCTATTCCAGTCAAAGGGGGTCGGTTTCGAACCTGATAGCATGGACTACAGCAGCGGCGCCATGACGTGCGCTAAGGACAGGCCGTGGCAGCAGGATTGGAGAAAGGACGCGAGCCCAACGTCGCCAGCGACAGTGCTGGGCTCATAGTCAAAGCCAGCGGGGGGCCATGACAACAGGCGCGATCAGCTACAACGTTGGGGCGAGCTCGTGCGGAAGAGGCTCTAGAGTGCGCGTCAAACAAGCACGGGCAGGCAGTCGCGAACATCTGCGGAAGCAGGCAGCGGCAACACGTATTATGTTGCCAACATTGTGCTCGCGTGGAAGGCGTGCGTGTGGCATCAACTACAGCGCTGTCATCAGCTCGTGCGAGAAGGGCGCAAGCGTGCAACACAGGCTTGCGATGCAACGCATCTGCGGAAGATCCGTACCGCGGGGGGAGGTGGCCCCTGTGTCAACTACAGTGCGGGGATTGCAAATGCGAGGGGCTGGTGCCGAGACATCAGCAATGCGAGAATGGCTGGGGCACTTCCACCGGTGGAGCGGAAGACATCCGACCACACGCTTTAAAAGGCCAAAGGCTTGGCCGTGGTAAGTCTGGCACGGTCGGCCCGCGTGGCGAAATTCGGCACCGAAATCGTCGGTTACTCGTCCGACCGCAGTACTCCCAAACGGTACTCCCTCTCCGTTCGCCGCCTCCTCCCGACTGGCCTCATACCTGCCCCTCATCCCCCGCCCCTCCGCCTTGCTGTAGATCCCCCATGTCCCTTTCAAAACCTCGCAGGGCTTCTGGTGGCTAAAGGCCTTCTTTCGCCTCCTACGAACGCCCAGGGCCCCCTAGAGTCTCCCACCGGCCTCAAGGCGGCCCGACATGATACCAAGAAGGCGCCAACAATGCCAAGTTAAACCTCCAATGCCGCTCCATGGAGCCCCAATGTCAACACGCTTTTCCAATCAACCTGCCTTGACGCCACACCTATCGAAAATGGGAGCCCTAACGTGTCTGAGTAGGATCGCGCGAGAGCTTCCCAAATCCACAGGGTAGTCCAATATGGCCCAAACGAGCATGTCAAGAGCACAAAAGGTCTCAATACTACCCACGAGGATGAGGAGGATGGAACCCTCGATAACTAACATGTGGCGTAGGCGTGAAGATGGTTGCGTGCTTGTTGTCGAAACAACCCTTTCGATGTCGAACACTTCTCCATCGGCTCTCCCGGTGCTGCCGTCGGCTCCCCAACATCGCACGCCCGACTGCCAAAACCACCCCCCGAAAACACATGTACTCAACATGACCCGTGATGACATCGCTACTCTCGAAATGGACACGGGACATCCCAATGTTGCCTGCGCCCAAGACGGCTCCAATGTCTTACCAGATGCACCCACACCCAGATCATTGACTTGCCCAAGGATGCACCCTTGGACAGGACCTCCTCCTCCTCCTCCTCCTCATCCTCTGCCGCGCGCGGAAGCGCGCGCGCGGATGAGAGGGCGAAAGGGGCCAAATGGAGGGGGGAGTACGGGGGAAAATAATAGGAGGAGGAGGAGGAGGAGGAGGAGGAGGAGGAGGAGGAGGAGGAGGAGGAGGAGGAGGAGGAGGAGGAGGAGGAGGAGGAGGAGGAGGAGGAGGAGGAGGAGAAGGAGAAGGAGGAGGACGATTCGTGAGGAGAAGGGAGAAGAGGGGATGGTGAAGGATGAGGACAAGAGAACCATACGCAAGGAACGCCGATATATCCACGATTCATGATTGAAGTGGAGAGGGAGCGAGGATGACAAACAAGGGGAGACACGAGGAAAAGGCGGGGGAAGAGGAGGGTGATGCATGGCGAGGAGGATAGGAGGAGGAATGAACCGCAGAACCGCAAGGGGGTCAGGAGGGGGGGGGAGGAATCAGTGGGATAAGGAACGGGAAGAACAAACAGGAGTTGGAGGGACAAGGTTTCCTGTCCCCTGCAGACTCCCAGCGATCCTTCAAGACCACATTCCCCGAGTCCGACGCGTGTATCGCGTTCGCCTTCGCGGGCCGCGGGAACCCGCGCCAGGTCGCACTCCCCCACCCAGCCACCCAAGGCGATCTTCCAGGTGGAAAGCGACAACTAAGAACCGACGTGAAGCCCTCCGCCCACCAGCTGCACCAATACAGGAACGCGGGCAGAGGGAGGAAAGAAGAGCTTTGAACGGAGAGGGACCATGGGTTGATGAAGAGAGCGAAGAAGAGTATACAGTAAGCATACCAAGTCGAATCAGAGGAATAATAACAATAACGAATCATACTAATAATATGAAGGAAACGAACCTTACGAATAATGGAAGAGGGGGCGAGGGAGAGGGGGAGAGAGAACGGGGGGGGGTAATGGAGAATACACGGATGATGCCTTCAGCAGGCGTATGCCAGGTAGCAGTGCTACAATGCGTGCGCCACGGCACACGGACGGCCAGTTTCCCCTGCGCAGCCCGCGCTGCACCAAGCCCGACTCCAACGGCCCAACCCGCTCGGCGCTCGCGCCTTCTCCAGGACCGGCCTGGAGAGGCCGATGCGCGCGCCGAACTATATGGTGGCCATCGTGTCGGGGCCGCTTTTGGGCGCTCTTCGTTGGGCCGCCAGGACTATCTGGTGGCTATCGTGCCAGGACTATCTGGTGGCCATCTGGCGGTCTTTTAAAGAGTCTGTCTCTTTGGGCCTCTGTGGCGCGCCTCCAGGGCGACTCTCGAGGCCCCGCAGCAACCTTTCGTGGGGGGCGCCAGGGTCTTCCTTGGCGGGGGCGGTCGCGTCCATCCGGCCTGGTGCGCCCTCTGACACCAAGGCAATCTAAACACATTGGCGTTCGAGCAAGTTGCCAGGACACACTCGCTGGGGCCGCCCTGGCCCGTGCGATCGGAGGTCTCGACCTTCTGGACTGCTGCGATGTTTCTGACGTTCACGGCTGCATGGGCCCCCGTGGAATTCCATGCGTGTTGATGAGTATGGGGCCACAACATAATGTCGTGATTTGACAGTTGCGTTACGTTGACGCGATGGCTCAAGGGTCCGAAAAATATAGTAATGGCAGCGGAGCCACATCAGAGACCCACGGCAGACGGCCAGACCACCGCTGCGGCGGTGGACCCAGCGACGTTGATCCAGGCGCCGCAGCAAGCGCCGGCAGGACAACGGGGTGGAGAAGCAGTACAGCAATTGCTGAGCATCCTGGCAGCGACGGTCCAACAGCAGGCCGGCCAGGCGACGACGCTGCAGCATCACGTGCAGCAGTTGGAGACGAGGACAACGGGCACCCAGGCCGAGCGCAGTCAGACGGTGCCGGGACTCGTGGACACTAAGACGCTCGGCCGAGTGGACAAGTTCAAGGGAGCTCGCACGGGCCGCGCAGACTGGTCCTTCGCCTTCCGCGCGTTCTTCGGAGGCGCGGGCTTCAAGGCGGTGGGGGCGCTGCGCCCGGCGGCGGCACAGGCGGAGCCAACCGGCAGCGTGGTCATAGACCTGGGCGACAACCATGAGGTCCTGCATGGACTCAACGGCCAGATCTACACCCTGCGAAATGCTTTAGAAATCATGGGTTAAGAAATTCATAGTCTCAGAACTTGAATAAAAACCCAACATTTCCATTATAATCTTAAGATGTACATTGAAATATTAAGACTAATCGAGACTCTGGCCGAAAAATTAAGTTTTCTTAAGCATCGCATAAGGTGTACACAGCCCTCCGCCTGCTGGTCCAGAATGAAACTCCAGACGCACTGAGACAAGTGCCAGAAGGCGACGGCCTGGAGGCGCGGTGGAAGATCGTGGCCTACAATGGGCCGCTCAACCGCGGCCACAAGCTCAAGCGGCCGCGCCGCGCGGTGAGCCCGAAGTCGATGGCAGGCAGCTCAGCGACGAAGAACGTCGAGACGTGGGGGGAAGTGGCAAGCGGATGCCAGAGGCGCTTCGCGGCAACGCCAGACCCGGACATGAAGATGGGCGCCTTCTGCCAGATCCCCTGCGCGAGCGCTTCTACTTGAATTCGGAGCGCTACCCCGCGTGCGAGGCCATGCGCGAGGCGTCGATGCTCTACCTGGAGAAGAAGACCGACCCTGTGGATGCCGAGAGGAGCGACTCGGCACCGATGGGAGTGAAGCAGCGACTCCACGCGCTGGGGCGAGGCAAAGGCAATGGTCCGAAGTGCAATACCAGACGCGGCAAGGACCTAAGGCTACGACAACCACTCTGAGAAGTTCGACGGCTACTGCAACCTCTGCAACAAGTGTGGACATGAGAAGGCTGGCTGTTCGTGGACTGACAAGACCAAACGTGGCCCGACGCAGTGGAATGCTCTGAGCCAGGGCGAGATGGCCGAGCCCACGCAGCCCGCGATGTTTAAGACGGCGTGTGCCAATGAGGTTCTCGCGCGCGAGATGGAAGTGGGCAAGGAGAGCTGCCGGCCCGACGTGATGATCATCTCCGCGGGCAAAGTGACTAGCAGCGGCTGCGGGATCGTCCTGGGCGACGACGGCAGCCTCGTTGAGGACAAGAAGGGCGGCTGGCGGCTGGCCGTGTCCACGCGGAACAACATCTATGAGCTCGAGGTCGACATCATCGATCCCGGCGTGCGCAGAGACGTGGAGGCCGCGGTGCTGCCCATCGAGAGTGAGACCGCGGTGGTCGAGGTCGGCGAGGCGCGGGCGATGTGCCGCAGGAAGACACCCGGGCCGCCCAGCGCCCGGGATATCGAAGCCCACAACATCACCCACATCCCGCATCGGGGCTGGTGCTCTGCCGGGCGAGGGCGAGCCGACCGAGGCCCGGCCGCGCGGTGAGGATCGACGCGTGCCCGTGCTGAGCTTCGACCCCTTCTTCCCTGGGCAACGGCGTGGCGACGAGCCTCGTGCGGCGATGAGCTACTGCGACGACGGCGCCGAGCGCCCGGCGGTGACGACGCCGCCGCCCAAGTTCACCGTCGTGGTGTCTGGCGGCGAACATCGGGCTGAGTGGGCGCATGGAGGCCGCCCTGAGGTCCGACGGCGAGCCCGCGGTGCTCAAGATGAAGAAGCAGGCGATGGAGAAGGTCGTCGGCATCGGACTGGCGCCAGAGGAAGCCGAGCAGGGGCTCCAGGAGCAGCCCCGACGCGGTGTCCGCCAACAGCGCGGCGGCAGGCCTGCCCAGGTGCCGCGAGGCGCAGCCTGACGTGGGCACGGGGCGCGCGACGGAGTCCGACTGCCCGGCGATCGCGAGGATGGCCAACCACTGCGGAGTGCTCTACGACATCGCGCGCGTGGGCAACGACGGGCTGGCGCCCTTCGAGCGGGCCCGAAGGCGGCGGGTGGGCCGCCCTCCCTGCGTGTCCGGCGAGCACGTGTCATGCAGGCCAGTGCCCGTCGGGAGCAGTAAGGCTGCGAGGGTTCGATCTTCCTGGGGCTCGTCGAGCGCGCGGGGGATGTGATCATGGGGGCCTCCAAAGGAGCCGCGGTGCAGTGCCGTGGCGGCAAGCGGCAGCCGCGCGTGAGCCAGTGGAACAAGGAGCTGGCGCTGGGCCTGAAGGCGCTGCCCTGGGCCCCGAACGGGAATGCGGAGTCGGATGGCGGCCGACTGCCGAGAGCGAAGTTGCGGGTGGAGACGGAGGCGCCTGGAGGAGCTCCTGAGCACCCGCCTGGACTTGCACCGAGACGGCCAGCGCCCAGGCAGATGTGCGCGATGGCGCGGCTGCTGAGCAATGGCCTGTGGCGGGCGCGCAGTGGCCCGCGCGGGCGCGCGTGGGGCGCGGGTGCTGGGCGAGGTGTTCGCCGACCCGCTGGAGTGCGCGCGGCGCGGGCTCGACTGCCTGGAGGGAGGCGCCGAGGCGGCCGGCCAAGAAGCCCGGCCGTCTGGAGCTGCGGGGTCGGCCGGGCAAGCCCCAGCAGAGCCTGCGCCCGCGCCTGCTGGCGGCGGTTCGGCGAGCGACGCCGCGATGAAGGACGAGGTCGAGAGGCCCAGCGCGGGGCCGCGCGTCGACGATGGGGGCCGACGCGCGCGCGGGCGCGCAGGAAGCCCCCGCGCAGCCTTCGACCAGCATGGGCATGACTGACGAGAGGCGGCCTCGCGAGGCCGCCGATGATGAGGCGGGGCCCGCGCCCGAGAGGGCGGCGCTAGCCGTGGTGCCCGAAGAGGAGAGCATGGACTACGATGCCGAGCTCAGCCTCGCAGCGAACTGCGTGGGCGACATCGCAGGGCTGCCTCTCTCCGACCTGGAGGTGGGCAAGGCCATGGCGGCGGAGATGCCAGAGCACGACGAACACGAGGTCTACGAGGAAGTGGGCCTGGAGTCTCGCCGGGCCGCCTCTGGCGCGCGACCTGGACGGCGATCGACGAGTCGGGCTCGCTGAACCGCGACGCGAGGGCGGGAGGGAGGGAGGGAGGGAGGGAGGGGAGGGAGGGAGGGAGGGAGGGAGGGAGGGAGGGAGGGAGGGGGCGAGTCTGATCGCGCGGGGGATGAAGGAGGGCAAGACTGGATGGGGGACGGCCTTCGCGGGCACCCCGCCTCCGTGGGCGTTTCGGGCGCCGTGCTCGAGCGCTCGGTCTGGCTGGGCCCGGGGGGGGGGGCGCCCGGGAAGCTGGGGATCACCGACGTCAGGAGGGCCGTCCTCCACGCGCTGCGCGGTGGCACCGCGCGCGCCCTTCCTCCGCGCATTCGAGGCGCTGGTCGATGCTGGCGGCTGGGCAAGGCGATGCGCGGTGCGCTGACGGCGGCGGGAGGCGTCCAGGACACGCTGGTGGGCGACCTGCCCAAGAACCTGAAGATGCAGGGGGCCCCGAGCGGCTCGAGCGGCGCCTGCGTCTTCCACGACGAGGACATGGATGTGAAGCTGGTCTACCACGGAGACGACGTGGCCATCGAGGGCAGCGAGGCCGAGCCGAACCTCGTGTCCGAGCTGGGCAAGCACTACGAGATCGCGGTGAAAGCGACGCTCGGCCCCGACGAGAAAGGCGACAATATCGGCTTCCTGCTCAACACGCCCGTGACCTGGGAGAAGGGAATGCTGCTCTGGGAGTGCGACCCCAGGCAGGTCGAGCTGGCGTTCGCGGAGCTAGGCCTGGTAGGTGCCGCGCCCAAGTCGGCGCTGTGAGCGACGGTGAACAAGCTGGAGCGGGGGGCGGCCGAGACTCGATCCCCAGCTACGATGAGAAGCATGCAGGAGCGCGGCGGCCAGGATCGGCTAGATCTCCCATGACAGGCTCGGCCTGCTCTACTCGGCGAAGGAGTGCCTGCGCGCGACGCAGGCGCCGACCGAGCTCAACCTGAGGCAGCTCAAGCACATCGGCAAGTACCTGGTGGGCACGCCGACGGTCGCGCTGGAGTTGAAGGACCGGACTCGGACGGAGATGGTGACGGTGTTCGGGGACACCGCCGACGGAGGCTGTCTGTCCCACGACGAGGCGCAGCACCAGCGGCGGCGCGGTGCTGGACGGTGCGAACCCCTTGATGGCCTGGTCGGTGACCCAGGCGAACTCAGCGCTATCAAGTGGAGAGGCCGAGCTGTGCGGTTGCATGAAGGCGCGTGCTGAGGGACTCGAAATTTTTGCGGGCTTCGGCAACCTGGGCGAGCAGAAGGCTCTGCCGGTGGGGGGGGCTCCTGGGCCGCGCTGGGCGTCGTGCGCAGGATCGGCCTAGGGGAACTGAAGCACATCGACACCAGATACCTCTGGGTCCAGCACGCGCGCAAACATAACAAACTGGCGGTGTGCAAGGTGCTTGGGACCTCGAGCGGCGCCAATCTCATGACGAAGTACGTTGGCAAAGGCACGCTCAAGTCGGACGTGGAGAACGCGGGCATCGTGAAGCTGGAGGGCCGCTGCGAGAAGGCGCCGCGCCTGGACGTGGACTGGGGGGCGATCAGCAGGGCCTCAGCCTTTGTGGTGATGATGCTCGCCAGCCTTCCGAGAGCCGAGGCGAGCCAGGAGGAGATGAGCACGAGTCAGATGATGAGCTTCCTCCTGTGGGTGCTGTTTGTGGTGGCAGTGACGGCGGGTCGATCCAACTCCGAAGCTGCCTGAGCGAGTCGCTGAGGGTGAGACTTTCATGAGCGAGCGTGTGCGGGCGCAGAAAACGCCTGGCTCCGTGGTGGTGTCCCAGTGAGGGGAATGCCGCTACTTCGGCGTTGAGTGCCAGGGGCTGCGTGGCGCAAGCTCGAAGCTGATGCGCTGCAGGCTTTGCAAGCTGTGCTGTGGCTGAGAGCCCGATTCGGCAACAGCATGCCGTGCGGGACTGCGTTTGATGGTCAGATGCTGACGCACCTGCCCAAGGAGGAGTGCGTACGGATGAACATGGGGCCACAACGTAATGGCGTGATTTGACCGTTGCGCCATGTTCACGTTGTGGCTCACGGGTCCGAGATAAAATGTAGCGACTTCACAAACTGCTCAAGGCACGGTGGCAGATCAGAGACCTGACGGCGCACCGCTCGATGCCTGGGGCGCGGTGGGGGTTCACTCCTCTTTGCTCCTGCGCACTCCTTCTCCTCCTCCTCCTCCTCCTGCTGTCTTCCCCACTCCTGCTCCTCCTCCTCCTCCTCCTCCTCCTCCTCCTTGTGCTGCTGCTGCTCCTCCTCCTCCTCCTCTCCTCGCGTTCTCATTCCCCTCTTGCCCCCCTCCCCTCGCCCCCCCCCTTCGTCCTCCCTCCATCTCTTCCCCTCCCTCTCCGCCTCATGAACTCACGACCCGCGGCGAGTGGCACGGGCAACTGCACGGGCCATCCTGCAGTTCAGCATCCAGGGGGGCCCTCGGCATCGCCGCCTCGCTGCTCAGAGGGAACTGAAAGCACAAGGCGGGGCCTCCACACAGATGCGTTTCCCAATGAGTTTTCAGGGGAAACCAACGGGTACCGATACCGCCACTTCCCAAACCTCCTCCAGGGTGCGCTCTGACCAAGGATTTCGAAACGAATCCACCGGTTGCGACGAGAACCTCCAAGGAATCCCCCAGAAGCGAAAACGAGGGAAGGATAGCGGTGCCGGTACCTTTTCCTCCTCTGACTTCTCCTGGGGCGCGACGGGGGTCGCGCGCAGCGGAACGCACACGGTGGCGCCCGCGCCACCCCGACCGCGCCACGGCAGCCCCGCCGACGAGCTCGTCGGCCAGCGGGCGCGGCCTCCTTCGCTCCTCCCCCCTTCTGAAAGGGGCTCAGGGGCACACAGAGACATAACACAAATCACAGAATTCAGATTTCTTGGAACTTTCTCTTGCCTGTCGTCTTCCCCTCCGCTTCCCATGTTTCCACTTGTTCCTGGACATCGGCGATCGTTTGGGCAGGTGGGCCTCGGCGGTGCACGTGCGCACGTCGCCGGGCTCCCCCGTCAGCTGCTGGAGGTCCACGGCGGCGCCCTGCGCTCCGCCGCTCGGCGGCGGCGGCGACGAGGACGAAAATGACGACAATATTGGCGGTGACGACGAGGATGACGGCGGCGGCGGCGGCGGTAATGGCGGCGATGTCTATCTCCTCCTTCTCCTCCTCGTCGTCGTCGTCGTCCTCCTCCTCCTCCTCCCCCGCTTCCTCCTCCTCCTCCTCCTCCTCATCCTCCTCCATTTCCTCCTCCCCGTGGAGGTTTCTGAAGCTTCTGGGCGCTTCTGGAATTTCTCGTCGCCACGGCTGGACGCAACCCAAAGACAACTCGCCAGGATGAAGCTCAGAAGCGGCCTGGGGACCGATTCGGAGTGCGCGCCAGCCACGCGGCGGTGGCGACGACGACGAGGACGACGGCGGTGATAATTGAGGCGGGATCATGTTTTGGAAGCTTTCGGGAGCTCTTCGGCGAGGAGGGGGAGGATGTGTGGTGAACCCTTCTCAAAGGCACGCCATGACGGAGGGGGCGATACGGTTTTCCTTCAGGAGGCCAGACAACTCATATCAGTGAAACGGCTTGAGCCAACAAAGGCGCACACAGACGGAGAAACCTTAAGCTCATGGGATACATTCCACAAATTGACAATGGGCCTAATTTTAGTGAGCTTAATATCGCTGTAAACTCCGTCGGCGCGCTCGTGCTTAAAAACCGCAGTCGCACAAGGACTGCACACACGCACGAATATGCCTGACCACACTGGGTCAAAGAAACTAGCTTTCCTGCTCGAAATATGGAGGAGAGCTACTTGAAACGAGATACTCTGGTGTCACGGAGCGGATGAATTCGGCACGCGTCCCGGAGAGACAAGAAAGAAAGGGAGACGGAAGACGGCGGACACGAGAGAAAGGGAAAAAGAAACGAAATAAGACGAAACGGACGGACGGATGGTTCGTCTGGTCGAAGTATACGATAACCAGGTCGACGGAACATACTACTCTTCGGAGCCCTGAGAAACGGCATCATCTGAAGACCTCTGCTGGGTACGTCTCAAGTGCCTGGAAGACGCTGCTCTGGACCTGCACCTGGATTTGGGACATGCCTTGCGCTCGGACAGAGACTGCTCCTCGGATACCGGCCTGAGGGTCCCGGACCGAAGCAACTTGAACTGGGCGGCATTTCCTTTCTTAACGTCTGAGTGGGTCATGATGTCCACCGGCATCGCTGGGTGGGGTACCCACCTGATCGTACTGCCCAACCTCCTCATCACTTCTCTCACTACCGACAGGTCGACGGCGATACGGCGGTCCGCCTTGGACCCCGTGGTTTCCCGGTCCAGGGTGTCGTATATACCTTTAGCGTCCACGACGCTCACGTTGGACAGGGGGTCGCAATTGAGCTTGCTGTCTCGGCGAGGCACGGCTGTGAAAGGGCCGACATGATCCCTCCACGATTCGGACAAGAGGCCCCCCGACGGTAACATCTAAGTACAGCATCTGCAACCACTCCGCCTCCGCCAAGGCGCTACTCAGTGCAAGAACTTCTCCCCCGAGGGTCGAGGGAACCAACCTTCTGACCTTGGAAGATCTCCAGGACATGGGTGTCACCCTGGCCAGGTTGCCCTCTCGGAGTGAGCGGTCTGCCGCCAGAACCTGCCACGCCCGTTGAATCCGATCTGGTCGGTCCCCGCCCACCCCTCCACAGTCACTGGCCGTGCCGAATATCATAGCCCCAGGGCGATACTGGCGATACTACCATGCTGTGATCGGGGCACTGGCCGAGTTGCGGAGAAGATCCACGGCTTTGTTCGCTTGCAGGAGATCCCCTACGGTGGGATTGTTAACGGTAGATGCCAATGTAGACGCTGTCCCGGAAACCTCTGCCGTCGTCTCCTTGCCAACCCAGGATAGCCTATAGACTAAGGACCTGAACTGCACCTGTTCTGGGCCAAGCAGAGGCGAGCTGTGATTTCCTCTTCGGTGACGGGGGATATCAATCTTGGACAGGGACTCGAGGATATATATCTCCTGATCTACCAGCACTCTGTCCTTCTGGTACCTCAGCCTCCGGCCGATGTACTCGACCCCCGTCTCATCTATGGGGCGTAACTTCCCGAAGCGGAATCGTTCCTGGAAGGTCTGGAGGCGCTTCTCCGCGACGGAAGGATGCACGGCGATGGCCCAGTCATCCACCTCGACCAGGACCTGGCTGCGAAGATCACCACCTGGAACTCTCTCGCAAAAACAACAGGGCTCCATCATACTTTTACGATATCCGATCTTCTGGAAGAATTCTGCTGTGGTGCGATGCAGTGCCAGAGGGGCATCGTCGAGTCCGTAGACCGGTGCAACTAGTTCTATAATGGCTCCCGGCTCCAGGGTCAGCCCCTCGCAGGGCTCTACAAACGCACGTCCTGACTCCCTCTTCAGCTCGTCAGTCTGGCAGAACGCATTTTTGAGATCCCCGATGAACAACTTCAGATAGTACATCAACGACACTACTAGGAATAATATCAGGGATTCCATCTGTGGCGTGGGGGCGTAGACCTTCAGTTCTGCCGTGTCTGCGTCCTCGTGGCCTCTCACACACCAGCGGCTCTTTGCTTTCGGACGGGAGTATGTGCCCTCCTGGGGCTTCCATCGTCGCACCATTCGGCTGGACACAATACGACTAGGGAAGTCTCTTCTGATGACGTGTGCCACGTGCGGGGGGTGTACGCGGACGGCTCTGGACCCAAGAACGGCCTCCCACTCCGACTAATCGGACATGTCGAACTCAGCTTTCTCCCGGGGATCCAGTTTTTTCTTTTGAACCTCTTGGCCCTTTGCCGTGGCGAGAGAAAGACTGTGCCCCGGGGCCCCCGCACGGACATCCACGTACACGTCTGCATTGCCGTTCAAATAGGTGCGCCAATCTCCGCTCCATCCGCAGAAGGAGAGATGCTCATTCATAGACGTGTAGAATGACTCGTAGAGGTCCTGCTCGTTCTGCTCCCCCTCCTCATGCGAGAGCAGAGTCAAGGCATCGGGGGCGTCCTCGTCTACCTCGGCCAAGAGAGTCAAACCTGCGGTCCTCTCGGGAGTTCGGGACCTGTCTCTAGCGGCCTCTGGACCTCCGGGCGCCTCGCCGTCTCGGCCCCGGGGTTCCAGCTCAGACACTTGTTGTCGAGCGCGACCGTGCGGGATGCCTCCGAAATCTCCCCCCCTGGTTGGTAACCTCCTGGCCATGGGGCCCAAGTCCATCAGCTGGTTCCGACGCGCGGCTCTCGAGGCGGAGTCCGACAAGGCACGGGGATCGTGGGTAACTGGGCCCATGGTCACGTCGCCAGCGCTCTCTCGGACGTCCCCAGGGGAGAAGGGGGGAAGGGCCGAATCCTCCTGGACCACCCGACCAGAACCCGTACCTCCGGGATCCTCCCCTGAGACCCCTCTGGACATAGCTCTCCCCGTCGAGGCTGCGTCGCTGCTGGGGGCCGCGGTGGGAGGTCCGGGGGGCGAAGGCTCCGGCTGATGTGGTTCGGCGACGCTCGGTCCGCCCTCTCGGGGAAGAGCGGCGGCCCTGGGAAACGTACTTGGTTCTCCCAGAGATGTACTTATCCCTCGGGCTGAGGTACCTGTCCCTCGGGACGAGGGCCCCGCAGTTTCCGTGTCTCCTGCGGGGGCGACGCTCCGGGAAGGCGGCGGCGGGGGCGCCGGACCGCCCGCGCTGTCCTGGTCGCGGCTCAGGGGGCCTGACCAAGCTTCGTCGGGGGGGGGGCCCTCACTGGACACGTCCACTCCTGCTCTGTGGTGGCCGTTCTGGGCCTCTCGGGTTAGTTCCTTGATGGCTGGGTCAAAGAGAACCTCGGCGCCCCGGGACTCCGCGGAAGACGCTTCCCGGACTTGCTCGGAGGAGCACTTCCAGACACGGGGTCGCCTTGCGATCCAGACGGTGTTCTGGGCCTGAAGGATAACGACCCCGCCCATCTGTCTCGCTGGAGAGCCAGACTCTTGCGACCGGACCTGGCAGCCCGACGCCACACATAAACCCACTGCCCAGGCGCGAACGTCCTGTCCTTGTGCTTGCGTCCTCGGGCGGCCTCTGGACTCTTCTTCTTATTCGAAACCCGAAAGAGCTCCCTTCTGGCGTACTCCTGGATGGGCGCCCCCCTAGCGAAATCGGCCGCGGCGGTGTCGCAGTCCCAGGAAGTTTCAAGAAGATCCGAAGAACCTACAGTGGACACGGCATCGTCCGACAACGCATCGTTGGGCATGCGGGGATTCTGACCCAGGACCAACTGGTACGGCGTGAATCCGCCTCGGTGTAAGTACCTGTTTTTAGAACTGACAATGCAGTGCATTAACAGTTCTAAGTCCTGAACGGACGGTACAACCTGATCCTCCATGCCCTTCAAGAGTAGGTCCTTGACCCACCCGCCGTGTCGCTCAGCGCGCCCATTCTCCCATGGACTGTCGCTGTTGACAACGTGCTGTAGTATGCCGTAGTGTTCAACGCCCCGTTCAAATTCCGCTTGAAATTCTGGCCCCCCGTCGCATAATATCATAGCTGGGGGTCCGAAATATCTCAACCAAGAAGACAAAAACGCGTTCCAACAACCTGTAGCTCCTCCGGTGTACTGAAAGTTCGTGCCGTGACACACGATGCTTAAGAACGCGACCTGCTGTTCCTGTATGTTCACAAAAAAGATGTCTATCCCCAGGACCCGGTTCAACTGGAAGGTGAGCGGCATAGCCGCTCGACGTCTCTCTGGTGGCCTACGCTGGGCCTCGCAGGCGTCGCACCTGAAGTGGTTTCGGACAAACTCCAAAATTTCTGGCTTCGACTGGGCCGCACGCAAGACCTTTATAAACTGATCAGTCTGGGGGTGTCCTAGGTTGACGTGCAGCGTGTGCACCATGGCTCTGACTCGGGCCGTGATCTCCATCGGGGGGGAAGGCTCAGGCTCTGGCGCGTCGCCCGCGTCCACGCCCATGTCGTCTTCCTCTGGAGCCTCAACTCCCTCCTCGACAGGCTGTTGCTGCTCCCCGTCTTCGTCCATGTCCT